CCAGATCGATAGGTGGTAGATGGGCAGGCTGTGGGATTGGAAAGATATATGTGTAATATTTATCTGGAAGGGATGGTGGGGGTGTGGATGGAGGGTTTTTTTATATTTTGGTTTCTTAAAATTTCTGCACATTAGTATGTATATTCTTAAGTAAACCACGATTGATATTTCTGCACGTCTACATTTTTAAAAAATAATACCTTTACCAGTTCAGAAATATACAATATCCATGTATGCAGAGTGTGTTTGTGTCCTGGATTGGGCCAATTTATACCAAGATTTCTGATTCTTCTTCACCTTTACATCTTCCTCTTCTCCCAGGAAATGCAGAAAAAGCCTGTCTTTAAGGGAAAAAGGCCAGCTTTTTAATGATCTGTCTACAGTCCCCTATGTAACCAAATTTGTGGGCCACCAGCATCTTACTGCTTTAAAAAATGCTCACTGACATATACTCAAGGCAGGTGTCTTCAGATCTCCTAAGACATATGATGGAACCATTTGGAGGATCAGCCACAGGTCAGGGTCTTGTAAAATTCAAAATGAAATTATTTTTGCTCTAAAAGAGTTATGACTCAAGTCAGCTAATCTATAATATGAGTTAATTTCATCGTGTGGTCATTTCGTTATAAAAACTATAGTGGATAGAATAGTGAACCTACATCCCTAAAATTCATGTCCATCTAAGACTTTAGGATGTGACCTTACCTAGAAATAGTGTTTTTGCAGTGTAATTAGTTAAGGAACGCCCACAGGGGATTAAAGTGGGCTCTGGTCTAATGACTGGTGTCCTTATAAGAAGGCTATGTGACAGAGAGGAGACACACAGAGCGGAGACACGGAGACTGAAATGATCTTGATTCCAGACTCCTGGCCTCCAGAACTGTGAGGGATTTGTGCTAATTGGAGCCATGTAGGTGTAGCACTTTATTACAGCAACCCCAGGAAACTAACACAGCAGTCTAGGTGACAAAGCTGAATTGTAGAGGTTCATATGAACCCCCTGTGGCTTCTGTCTCCCACTAGCTAAGGCCATCTGCAAAGCAGCATGCCATCTGAGGGCTGGTGACACTTGAGCTGCTTTGAGGAATGCACATTTGTGTGTAGCAAAGCATGTGTAGATAGTATAGATGGTGACTTCAGGGACCCCCAAAGCAAAGATGCCCATGCCATGGACCCATTGCTTCTTAGACTTCTATCCATCTGGGGAGGAAACCACTCTCAGACCCATGTGAATCCCTCCTTAGAAGACAGGGCAGACGGTATGGGCTGGGCTATGCTTACAGTGCACTTTGGCCATTCATGACTATGCACGTATCAAGTCAACAGCCTAGGGATGGCCTTTTAGATGGTCATCCATTGCCAGTGTCTCTCTGGGAAATCAATAACCTTTTGTCATAAAGGCGATGTTATCAGAGTGAGAGAAGCCATGCCCAGTGCAGAGCTGGACAGGCCAGCACTGGGAAATGGGGTGGCGAGCAATGCCTGCAGCTGCCTGCAGGCGGCACATCATGACTGAGAACTCAGCATTTGCACAGTGCAGCCCGCAGCTCTGATGGGTCACTAAGGTGGAACTGAAGCATGGACCCAGTAGTTGTCAGGCCATGCCAAAGGGAAGAGGTGACTTGAGCATACCACTAAGAATGGCTAATAATGCAGTGGTCAGAGTGCAGGCTCAGGGCAGGAAGCCCAGCAGGTATAGAGAGGAGCAGAGTACAAAGGTGGGTGCTGAGTTGGAGTCGGTCATCAAGAACTCACGTTGAAATTTAATGGTCATTGTAGCAGTATTAGCTGGTGAGACTTCCAGGAGGTGAAGAGGTCATGAGAGCTTTGCCCTTGTACATGAATTAGTGCTATCATTGTGGGAGGGGTTAGTTATCTCAAGAATGGGTTTGTAATAAATCAAGTCCTCTCTTGGGTTCTCTTTGTGTCCCAAGTGTACTTGCTTGGCCTTCTTTTTTTTTTTTTTTTTTGGTTTTTCTCTGGTACCGGGAACCGAACTCACGACCTTGCACTTGCCAGGCAGGCGCTTTTGCCGCTGAGCTAAGTCCCCAGCCCCTTGCTTGGCCTTCTGGTCATGTTATGATGCAATGTGAGTGGAAGCCCTCATTAGATTCTGACACTGTGCCCTTGGATTTCCCTGCCTCTAGCACTGTGAGCCAATTAAATATCTATTTCTAGTAGTGCACTCTATCTGCTGTATTCACTTTTAGCCTCAGAAAATGGATTCAGGCAGTATGAAAATGAATGGGGTGCAGACTCTGGAGGACCTACGGCAGACTTTCTGTGGTTCTCGGACACAGAACATTGAATTTCCTTGAATTTTAGATTCTACCTCCTCATGGGTGGTTCTCACTGGAGCTCAGAAGACCAGAAGCAATAATTTCTCAGCAATCTACCAAACTGTTCCTTTATTTTGGGATGTTTAAAATATGTGTAACTTTTTAGTGTTCAAATAAAGTTCTGATGCATTAAAAAATACCATAATTCTGGCAGGGATGTGAACAATAAAGGCCAGGATCAAAAGATTTCAGTTGGGAAGAAGAATTTCATTGGACTAGAGACCATGTGTGTGACACTTTGGCAAAAAATTTGTGCAGATTTTGCACAAATGTGCTGGCACATTTTGTGTACATTTTGCACAAATCTCATGTTCTGAGATTCTGTGGGAGACCGAGATTATGTGCAGTGGACTGATTGATCTAGTGTAGGAAATTTTAAGGTAGCCCAATGTTCAGGTTGTGGCATAGGTATTGCTGGCTGCATTTAACTAGATTTATAGCAAGGATTGGAAGCAAAAGATGGAGTGGAACAATTTTAAAAATTTAACACTGGCTCAAAAGGAACCACATAAAAAGTTGTGACCAAAGAAGGTGTGGTTGCTGGAAGGATTAGCATCATTAGGAAGACACCAAGAACTTTGCACATGAATGGGAAAAAGATGTCTTATTGGCATCTAAGAAATCATCCAGACCTTCCCCATCATAGGCTCAAAGGTGGAAAAGTGTAAACCTTTCATTAGAAAGAAAATCCCTGGGATCCTTGCTTGAGAAGAGCCTTCTAGAGAATTGGTCACCTAGGATTCATCTCACTGTGATCAGTCATCCAGGCAGTCAGAGGCCACTGTAGCCATGATCCAAAGGGGGCTGTTTAGTGCTTTTGCTGACAGCAGACCTTGTAAAAATCCCTGTGATGCTGTTTTTACTGTCATGTAGAATGTAAGAGTTGTGGGGTCAAGAGTTGTGGGCTTCCATTCAGATTTCAGTGGAAGGCCTGGAGGGTCAGGCAAGGAGTCCCTGAGAGGGCCATGCATGAATCTGTGGGAATAAAGCTGACTGTGCAGTAGAAACTCCAAGAAGGTAGAGATGCCAGGAATGTGGAGTGTCTACCAAGGAAAGCTGCAGGCAGTGAGCAGAGCCAGCCCAAAGGAGAGCCCAACAACAGTGGGCTTCAAACAGCAAGGCCATAGGGTTAGGGATCTCAAGCCCCATAGAACCTAATTCTCACCTCCATGCACCCCAGATGTCAGACATGTAGCTACAACGAGACTTAACCTTGATGGGTTTCAGTTTTACTTCGACTGAATTCTATTTCCCCTGTTCCTCTTTTTAGATGGAAATATTTACCCTCTGCCATTATATCTTGGTATTATACAACTTTTTTTTTTTTTTACACAGGGATTCACAGTAGTTTTCCTTGAGTTTCAGAGGACTCATAGACTTGGACTTTTAGCACTACTATCACTGTTGAAACTTTGAGGAAGGAATTAGTACCTTTTGAGTTGTACACACATAGCTGTACTATGTTAGGCAGAATTATGAGCTTGCTATTGTCTTTATTTGGATATTAAGTATTGATTTAAGGAGGTGTTTTTGACTGTCAAGTCATCAAAGCATGGAATGTAAGAACTAACCTAATGTTTTCAACTTGATTGGCTTGGAATCTGCCAAAGAGATTAGTAAAACATGCTCCTGGGTGTCTGTGTGTGTTACTGAGGTGTGACTTTAGGAGTATATCTGGATTACTGCCTTTCTTTTCTCGTATCACTCCCCTTTTCTTCCAACTGCTCTGAACTAGGCATCTGTGCTCCACTACAGCAATCTATCATGACATTCCTGCCATGGACTGAATCTCCTAAAACCACGAACCAAATTAAAGCTGTTCTCCTTTAAGTTGTGAGTGTGTCTACACACAATGACAGAAAGCTGCCTAATCAGGGACAGTCTGCATTTGGAATATGTAGTAGGCTGGGTTGAATCAGGAGACAAAAAACCCAGAAGATTTTAAATATAACATTTATTAATTATAATAAAGTTATACTTCATATATACAAGAGAAAGCCCCATGGTCCCTAAAACTGAAGGAGGACCCCAAGGAGGAAAGAGTTGAATGCATTTGGATCTCACCAGGCAGGATGGCCAAGCTGGAGCTGGTCTGAACTTTCTGGGCAAATCAGCCTCACAAAGGCACGGCAGGCATCAGCAATCCCTGGGCTCTGAAGGGACAGGGTACATTCAAATGAGTAGCCCCTGCATGCAGGGCAAGGGGTTATGGCTTTCAGAGAGTGGCGCACTCAGTGGAATCCTGGCCCACATGTATGCTCCATGTGGTCTCGTGAGACACATGTGTAAACAGCTAATCCTAGGCTGAAGTTGAAAGCTCACAGAGGAACCATTTTTGAGGCCTGTTGATGGTCTAAAATATGATAATTTGAAAAAATATTATGATTTGGTACTGTATATAATTAGTAATGATCAAAACAAGGCAATCAATTTCCTCATTTATCATGTTCTTATTTATTGAAAGCTTGAGCGTTATGCTTTTAATTCGATGAATCTGAAGACATTTAATCTATTTGGAATATATCTAAATTTTGATAGCCATGTTAATAGTTGCTGTGCAGTTTATTCTTTTGTAGTTTTTAGGCAGAAAGTTCAGACTTCGTGTGAAAAATACTTCTAATTTTTAATTCACCTTTATTTTCCTTTTCTATTTTTGCCTAGGTCTTATACAATATATTAATTGCCTTCACAAAGATGCATAAATTTGAAGACATAGAACCTGTTGACATTTTGGCCGGATGTGCCCGGTTCATTGTTGTGGGCTGTGGAGGAGTATTTTTTGGCATCATTTTTGGATTCATTTCTGCATTTATCACACGTTTCACTCAGAACATCTCTGCGATTGAACCCCTCATTGTCTTCATGTTCAGCTACCTGTCTTACTTAGCTGCTGAAACTCTCTACCTGTCTGGCATCCTAGCGTGAGTACACTCCAAGCATCTCAGCCTATAAAGAAAGTTCAGGACCTTGAGGGGGGTCAGGCATCTGAGGAAGGCATGGCTTCTGACACTAATCACCAAAGGTGTTCCAAGGTGAAGGGTTTTGTTTTTAACTTTTGTGAAACGTGACTCAAGTCTTTTGCCAGACAAATATTCTCTCCAACCTTTGTGTTTGTTCTCTTGTGATTTGCCTGAGGAGTGTGTAGCAATTATAATGTCAGTGTAGAATGCTCAGAAAAGCTGATGTAGGGAAAAGCTGGGGAACCTACTATCTGGATAGTTTTGTCTTTCTTTTTTCTTGAATAACTAATTTTCAGGCAGAAGAGAGGCATGCCCCCCTTCCTGGGCTTCCTGCCACTGCCACAACCACTATCACAGTCCCATGACCCTTCAGGGTGGACTGACACTAGGAAGATGGGATCAGTACAGAAACTGAGATTTCTTTGACCTAATGAAAATATTTCAGAAATGGGTTATCTTGTGTCCTTGTGACCTTGAGATGTTTTTCTTAGAATGAGGCTTCTCAGTCTGGCTAATATGTTGTCACATTCCTTTCTCAATGGTGTCGTCCTCACATCCAGATGTTTAGGCAGAAATAGTTAACGATAATACCTAGGAATGCCTATGCCAATTAAATGTGGTACTGCACTCTAGGCTGCCATCATTTTTGCACCTTAAAAACACTAAGACAAAGCAAAAGTTTTTCCCCGTACTTGTAAATGGTTCTAGCACAGATACATTTGGAATGAAAGATATGTCACACAGTAGCTGCAAGAAGTGTTATTTGGTCAGAGAAAATCAGGGCATTGCTGATTAGGTACACACAACCAAAGAGGATTTATTTTGATTTAAGCAAGAGTAAAAGCAAGTGTAAGAACTGGGTCCAACAAGCTCTGGAAGAGGAGAAAGGCAGAGAAACTTCTGGATTGCCTTCTGGAACTGTGCTGCCATTTTGCAGGAGGAGGCCACATTACACACACCTTTCCCCGTAGCTCCCTTTTTATTGTAGAGACCCCTAGGGGAGGGGAGGAGGCAGACAGAAAATCTGTGGAAAGTTTACAGCCAGAAGGGAGAGATGGAGGAGACATTCTTTTTGGATAAAGAGAGGCTTTGTGTGTCTGAGGCTTTGCCAGTGTGGAGGACGTTTTGTGGAGTAGTTGCTTCTCTCTGAGACTCTGCTCATTTCCAGAATCACAGCCTGTGCAGTGACAATGAAAAAGTACGTGGAAGAAAACGTGTCCCAGACCTCCTACACGACCATCAAGTACTTCATGAAGATGCTGAGCAGCGTCAGCGAGACCCTCATCTTCATCTTCATGGGCGTGTCCACCATTGGGAAGAACCACGAGTGGAACTGGGCCTTCATCTGCTTCACGCTAGTCTTCTGCCAGATCTGGAGAGCCATCAGTAAGACACAGCGGGGCCTGCAGACCCCTGCGGGCTTCTGAGCTTTTGTTTCTCTGTTCTTGTCTTGGTCGCTGCCCCTGTTACTGGGACACAATAGCTGACACCTGCAGGCGAGAGAAGGAGGGCTCATTTTGGTGCACAGTTTGTAGAGGTTTCAGTCAGGGCTGGCTTGCTCTAAGTCAAGACAGCATGGCAAAGGGGAGTGGAGGAGGAAAAGCTGCTCCCAGCATGGTGGACGGGAAGCAGAGAGAAAGGAGAAGAGCTAGAGAGGGAGATAACCCCTTCAAGACCACGCCCCCAGGGGCCTGCTTCTTCTGATTAGACCATCAGCATGTCAATCAATTGTATGGATCCCACAATCCAGTCACCTTCAAAAGCCCCACCTTAGAGTATGAGGCTTTTGGGAGACATCTAGATATAAACCATAACAGTTCTCGTCTGCCCTTCTGTAATGGGAAGACAAGGGAGTGACGTGACATGCACTTCTTTTACTGGCTAGGGGAGTCCAGGTACCTTGTCGTACCAGGAGGATCTTCTCTTTGCCATGTAGTCAGGTCTAAGTAATTAGTGGCTGGGTGATAAGGTTCTGGCTTGTAGCAAAGCAGGAGCACTTGGGCAGTTTGGTTTCTTTTTAATTGAAGAGGGAACTTTCGCATCTACACACTGAAGTGTGACCCAGGCGAGGGGTACCTCCCTCTTCACTGCTTGCCCGTGCGTGCCCACCTCAGTTGGGTACAGATGAGACACTGCGGGCACCGACACTGTTGTGAGAGGCCCAGTGAGATCTCACAAACTGTGTTCTCTGTAGGACAAACACTGTTGAAAAGTATTCTCCTAAACCGTACATCTAGTCTAAGGGTAGAGTGCCTGTGGGTGATAGATAACAGACAAAGGTCCTGGGTGATGTTTGAAAAAGATCATAGTATTAATTAATAAGAGCAACCATAACTATAATGTCACTGACCAAAGCCTTCAAAATATACGTAATTTTTAGAAATGATTTCTCTTGTACATTTGTATTTCAGGAGCTAGAAAAGATCCTGAAGTACTAAAGTACAATGTATGTGTTGTTTTTTGATTAGGAGCAACTATGGGCTTTAAATGACTTTGACTAATCTTATCAAGCCAATTTTTCAGAGAGAAATTAGAAGAAATGGTGAGAATTTATATTGAGCATGTGAATTCTAAATTAATTTAGGATGGCCCTTAAGATCTAGGAAAGAACAGCAAGAATGCAGAAATATTAAAATATTCACAAAAGTAACTGAATATGTATGCCTGCCGGGTTCCTGGTGGAAAAACCATTGAGGAAACTGTGACACACATTTAAAACCTCAGCTAGAATCCTGGCATGATTACTGACTAACTTGGACAGACATTTCTCTATTCCAAGTTGTCTTCCTTGAGCTTGAAACGGTGGGTTTGGATGAAGGTTTCAGATCTTTGAGCCCTCCTAGTCTCAAATCTAGAGGGAAGTAGAGCCAGTGTGACGAGAAGGAAATCACAGTCTCAGCCCAGCCGACAAGCAAAGAAGCCACAAGGACAGGACTGGCACTGTTGTCCCTTGGGGACCATCAGCACAGCTCTGTTGTTCGAGAGCTGAGAGTGTGGATGGGTCCCCCTGAGAGAGCCTGGGCGCTGGCCACTTCCTGTGATGGACAGAGCAGGTGCTGGAGTGTGGTCTCTTTTCACCCTGACTCTTTGTTTATAACAGCGGTTAGGAAGGCTTAGAATACAGGAGGCCCCATTTTTTGGATGCTCAGTTCTAAAAAAATCCTTTCATCTACTTTACGAAGTACATACACTTGTTCCTCCATACCTGTAGGTCTGCATCTGTGGATTCAACCAAGTACAGACCAAAAATACTGGAAAGAAAATTGCATCTGTGCTGAACATGCACAGACCTTTCCTCTGTCATTTGTCCCTACACGATACAGAGTAACAGCTTAGGTGTCATTGACTCTCCATTAAATATCATAAGTAATAGAGGGATGATTGTAGATATTCAGGAAGATGTGTGGGCTCAGTGGGAGCCCCACACCATTTCCACAAAGCTCCTGAGCATCGTGAGACCTGGTGCCCACAGTGGGTACTCTGCAGAGATGCCGCAGACAGCTGCAATCCTGCTGCCTCTGATCAGCAGGTGAAGAGTCCGAGTCATGCAATGATTAATAACCTTGCCCAGCTCGAATGCCTGGCAGGTAGAAAAACCAGGATGGACAAAACAAATAGAAAAAGTTTAAATTTTGTTCAAATCCTGCTGTTGTTTGCACTGCGGATGTGCCTGTCATCAGTAGATGCTGCTGTGATGGTGTTGGGAGGGCGGACAGTCCCGCTGCGCTACAGGGAAAGCCCTTCTTCAATTCCTGGGGCTTTAGTGGAGGGTGGGGCCGTGCTGGTGAAAGCCCCTCCTTGTCAGACGCTCACTGGGATGGGAAGAAGCTTCCTGGGCTCCTGCTGACACCCTTGCTTGCTTGTTGAACCTCAAGAATCAGTGAGCCAAACAAGAGGACCTGCTCACCTATAGAAGCCCCAGTTGCTGAGCAAGCTACCTGCATGTGAGTCACCGACCACAGCTGGGTGCAGTGGTGCACGCCTGTAATCCCAGTACTCTGAAAGGCTGAAGCAGGAGGATGGCAAATTTAAGCCCACGCTGGGCTACACAGCGAGATCCTGTCTCAGAATAAAAACTAAAAAGGGTCTGGGGTTGCAGTTCAGTGCATAAGCCCTGGGTTTTATACCCCATACCATAAGGGGGGAAAAAAAAATCACAGATCTGTTTTGGGTACCAAAGGAGAATTTGAGGTCAGAAGATTTTGGTTTCCCAGATATCCTTGCTTTTACCTATTCAAACATTAAAAGACAGAGTGAGAATATAAGAAATACATACCTTGCATAAAAATGGGAAGCTTGACTTTAGACACATGCACACACACAGCACGTGTACTAGGCAGCACCCAGAGAAGACTTCTGAATAGAGGCAGGACGTCACAGGAGCACGGAGCTCCGAGTTGCTCTGCTGGGAGGAGAGTCAGAGTGAGGAGACGGGGTTCTGCTGGGCCAGCAGGCAGGCCCTCTGGTGCCCTTCTGTCTGCTGGCCCGGCGCTAATGCCTCTCTCCTCTTCCAGGCGTGTTTGCGCTCTTCTACGTCAGTAACCAGTTCCGGACTTTCCCCTTCTCCCTCAAGGATCAGTGCATCATTTTCTACAGCGGTGTTCGAGGAGCTGGGAGCTTCTCCCTTGCGTTTTTGCTCCCTCTGTCTCTTTTTCCAAGGAAGAAACTGTTTGTTACCGCTACCCTAGTAGTGATCTATTTTACCGTGTTCATTCAGGTTGGTAGCTTTGTTTCCTATCTGAAATAAATAGATTCTTTCAGGACCATGTAGTACATCAATACAATGCAAATACTGGCACTTTCTAGTACTTTTTTTTTTTTATCTCTGTTCATTATCCAAACTAAATTCCTGGGTATTTATAGTCATGTTCATGGTTAGCCTTTAGCTTCTAAAATGCGTTGCCTTTTAACCAATACAATACATTAATTAAAATATTCTTGGGTGACAGGTGCATGATAGCTACTGTCTAGCTCTGAAAATGAGACTCTAATTAGTATCTGATAGCATGGTGTTTGTTTTAGCTGGACTTAGCACTTAAAGAACTAATAAAAGGTTAATTTCAGGGAGGAAATCATGCTTTCATATTAAAATAAGACAGTTACAGATATTTTTATTATAAAATTCATAATTAAAGTAAATGTGCATTTATCCAGTAGAAACTAGATACAAACACATATAAATTGGACATTCTGATAGTCTGGATAACAGATATGTTCCCTGTAGTGATAACCTTCACCTCAACAACACCCTGTATTTTGTTCTCTGATCTAGGGAATCACAATCGGCCCTCTAGTCAGATACTTGGACGTCAGAAAGACCAATAAAAAAGAATCCATCAATGAAGAGCTCCACATCCGAGTAAGTACGGCTGCCATAATTGTTATTAATGGATTGATGTGATGACCCCATTTGTCACTTAGGGGAGTAAACTAGAGCCTGGACAAGACTTATTACACGTCATTAAGCCTGTGGCTTTGTTCCTTCCCAGCTCCACTGACAACTCTGTTCTAGCTTCTTTTTGTGCTGTAAGGAGTCAGCTTGTCCTACTGACTTTGAAGCCCTGGTCCTATGACCTTCTAGTCCTGAGGCAGAGGTCTGGGATGTGTTTCAGCCTCTGGAGGCGGAGGTCTGAGATGTGTTTCAGCTGAGGTGCTGCAGGGCTGTGTTCCTCCCTGGAGCCTGGAGGGGACAATCTGTTTCCTCTCATCTTCCAGTTTCTAGCGGCTTCCTGCATTCCTTGGTGGTGGCCTCTTCCACCTGTAAAGCAAGCGCTGGCCAGTTAGGTCTCTCTCATTTTCCATCACCCTGACAGAGGTTGTTAGGACTTCTCTGATTGCCCTGGGGCCGCCCAGAGAGTTCACCATGTTCTCTTTATTGTAAGGTCAACTGATGAGCAACCTTGTGGCCCTGGGCTACCCGAACCCTCCTCTGCATGTAAAGGAGCACATCTGCAGTTCTCAAAGAGTCAGTTGCAAACAACTTTGGGAGGCCATTTTTCTGTGTACACAGCTGCCCTCTGTCCTGTAAGACTCATGCCTGTCCTCTACCCTAACATCTTGGAAGTCTCAATCCATTACAGCATCAGCTCCAAACCCAAATCTTATCTAAATGTCTTCTAAAGTCCCAAATCACGTCATCTTAAATGTCTGTATCAGAGATGGGTGAGGCTTTGGGTGAATCCGTCTTGAGGCCCAGTTCCTCCTCATCTTTGAGCCTGTGAAACACGAGGAACAAGTCACCTCTCCCCCGTTATGCTTGGGAACCATCAGGAGACAGGTGTTGGTGTTCTCTGTAAAGAGAGGGGAAGTGGAAACAAAAAAGGAGTTGTGGATCCTAAGAAAACCATAAAGTTCCTGGGCAAACTATTTTGTTTCAAGGTCTGGAAACATCATGATCCCTTCTGATTCTTACTTTCCTCCTTTCCCTGGGTCCTGACCTCTATCCTTGGGCCACATTTCCTTTTTGTGAAAGGCAACGTGCGTTTGCCGTCAAGGGGTTTCCTCAGCTGACTTCTCTCCTGTAGGATTTTGGGGTCTGTCAGCCTTCTTTCATTTTTGTCCTTTTCTGCTCTTCTTTTTATTTCAAGATGGCAGTGTTTCCATCAGCATTCAACAGGGAAGCAGAACCAGCAGGAGATATGAAGAGATCTGTGAGAGGAATTGGTTTACGCTCTTGTCGGAGCTGGCTAACAAGTCCAAGTCCTAGGACAGACAGCAGGGCGGCAGGCAGGAACTCTAGCCCAGACTGCAGATGTTGTCTACCGGTAGATTTTCTCATTTGAGAAGTTTCTGCTGTGTCCAGAAGGACTTTCAACTGATCAAATCAGGCCACTAGGATTATTTAGGATTATCTCCCTTAAAGACAACTGATGACGGGATCGATTTACATCTACAAAATGCATTCACAGCAGCATCTAGTGATTGACTGAATAAAGAGAACTTGCCTAGTCAAGTTCATACCTCAAGAGATTACAGTAGTGGCTAAGTTCGAAGTTGTTCTATTTGCTTTTAAACTCATTATTCTACAGGAATTTGAGGTCCTTTGCTTTTCCAGAACTCTTAATAGGGAAAGAGTAAAGGCTGTGACTATTTCTATAAATATGGCCTAGTGGCAGTTTTTGGTAGAGTCTTCTTTGCCACTGTGGCAAAGATGAGCATGAAGTTGAACATGGTTCTAATGTAACGCTCCAGTTGGACCTGACTCCTCCAGCCCCAACCCATTTGCCTGCACAGGCACTACTATCAGCAGGGAGCTCGGAGCAGCAATGAAGCTGTCATGGCAAGCACAGGATAGCGTAAAGGAGATAAGATAGGACAAGGAAATTTGCAGGTCCCAGGACACCTAGGGACATCTGGGGACCTCTAGAGGTATTTGAAAATTTATACAGGACACTTCAAGGACTTTGCCCACTGAGGTACAAGATAGCCCAGAGAATTGTGACCACAGATGTTTATTGAAATCTTCTTGCCTAAGGTCCCCTGCCTTCTTTCCATCCCCATAAAAGGGGCATATTTCTCTTTGCTCCCTACAGAAAGAAGGTCTTTTCACTTTCAGTCTGCCTGCACTCAGGAATAATAAATTCAATGCCATGTTACCTTTACACAGCTTTGTAGTCTCTGCTGCCCAACCCCTGCCCTGTACATTATACCTACCTGTTAGAGATCAACACAGTTTGAAGGGATCACTCTCAGACAAAGAAATAATAATTAATATATGGAATATGGGGGAAAACATAGAGAAATAGATAGTTCAACTCATTTATGAAAGAGCATTCTGATAATTATTTCTTGATTGGCACACTCAGAAGGGCAATGGATGTGTCAAGCAGTGACTGGGAACACTTGGCATAATTACTGCTCAGAAAAGTCATGATTTGAGGGGATGATTGGCTGCTTCTATCCTTGAGGGTGCATAAGTCAAATGCTGGAGGATTGTATGACATTTACCTAAATCTACCTAAACAAGCCCCAGATTGTATAGCAAAATCATTCTAGGCAATAAATTTCAAGAAATCCAAACCAAAAATTTTCAAAGTCATTTGAAAATAGTTAACAGATTTGGATAGGGAGAGAGTGTTTTAAAGTATGTAATACCCTAATTGAATTTTAGATTTTTTTCTCTATCTTTATCTTCTTGGATTCATTACTTGAAAATATTATGCATATACCTAAGCCTATAGAATTTGGATAGTTCATTCCTCTCTCAATTTTTTTCTCAAAAATGTTATAATTATTTATAGAAATCATTGAATCAATTAAATATTGGAAGAATAGTTCAGTATATTTAATCTGTTTTCAAAAAAAATCAGAAGCCAGTAACAATTTTAATGATTTTTCATTGAAATGGTATAGACTGATTTGTAATTATTTTAAGACTGTCTTTTCCCCTATTTTTTTGTAAAAAATTCTGTATAAAACAAATGTAGCATTACTGGCTTGTATGTTGAAATGTAAATACCTAGGGAAATACTAAAGTTGAGAATACTGATAAATTTTCTTCTTATATTTTTATTATTATGATAAGTTATTTGAAAAGTTGTATTTTGAGAAACTGTGTATATTGGATACTGGTAAGTTCTTCTTTAGGAATGAAATTGAAAGTAAATCATTAGAATTTGAATCCATATTTTTTCAGAAAAGAGGTGTTTCCTTAGAAAAGTGTTATTCAAAGTCAAGGCCAGGGATGCTGTTTTCATGGAATATTCCATATGTGAGCAAGAGGTTTATCTCCAGAGTCTCTCAGTCATTGTCTTAGTTACTTTTCTCTCTTTGCTGAGACAAAATACCCAACACCCAAATTAAAGACTGGAAGCCTTATTTAGCTCTCAGCTCAGTTCCTACTCTCCTGGCTCCACGGCAGGGTGGCACACGGCAGAGGGCAAGCAAAAGCAACAAGAGCAGAAAGGGAGGAGCAGGGGAGAGCAACCTCTTTCTCCTTTACATTGTATGCAGGCTACCTGCACCAGGGCGTGTGTAGCACTCACACTCCTAATCCCAGCACTGGGCCACGAATCCATCACAGACTCTAGAAGCCCGCCCCATGACCACATGAGGATTTTGAGGGGACATCCAAACACAAACCATAATAGTCATGAACCTAAATTGAATCACTATGAAAGACAGAGTGTATTTGCATGAGTGGACTGATAGAAGATACCGGGAAACTGCCTCCCTCATTTGGCAGGTGCATTAGTGATCCTTGTGTACTTCCCGGTGCTCTCCCCTCACCAGAGTTACTCCTTACCATTTCTCTGGCAGCTGATGGATCACCTGAAGGCGGGCATGGAAGATGTGTGTGGGCAGTGGAGCCACTACCAAGTGAGAGACAAGTAAGGTGCTCGGGGTCGCGTTACCCAACCAAGGGGTGTTTGTGTCTTAAGCAACTTTCGAGGGGGACTGGAAGGGGAAGACAAAGGCCCTGGAGCCATGCCACCCAAGAAGCAGCTGGGCACCGTAAATGCTGCTCCCCTGGAAATGAGCGCTGTCTTCGGAACAGGCTGGGTCTGGGTTTAGGTTACTTGGGAGAGAACCAGTGCCCTGGGTGGAGGGGAAATAAAGAAGTCATAGTTACATTTAAAGGAAGGATAGGGCTGCCCAGGATAAAAGCAGCTTAACAGTGGAAAAACTGGCTTCCTGAGGCTGCAATGGGCTTCGGTGATATAGTGGGAATCCTAGGCAGGAATCTGTCTACTACGGGGGTTACGAACATGGAGGACCTTTAAGGGTGCTGCCTACATAAGTGTTCTTCCAAATGCCTAAGCCCTTCTCCACCATAGCTCACATTTGTGAACTGATTCCTCTCCCACACTTAGTCTCAAGGAGGAAGACTGTGGCTACAGACAAAGGGTGTGAAGTGCCACGGAGCTGCGGGTGTCGAAAGCCCAGTGTTTGCTTGAGGTCACTACGAGGGTGTGAAGAGGGAAGCTGCTAAAGACAGCATTCTGAGAAACTCCTGATCCTGGGGCACAGGTCAGGGAGAGGAAGGGCAGAAGGACACAAAAAGAAGCAGTCAGGAAGGCCACAGGAAGGCAGAATTGAGCCGGGATGGGGAAGAATTACTAGCACGCTGAGAGACACGGCAGCCCTAGGGGAAGAACAACGGCGGCCACTGGAGTGGTCAAGGTGGGCTCAGCAAGAGGAGGGTCAGGCACACGGTGAGGTGGAGGAGCTGGTGACAGTGGTTAAGGAATGAGCAGGAACCGTGGGCTGTCATCAGAAAGGGCAGGAAACCCGAAGGGTGACCCAGCTGGAGCAGCAGCAGGTGTGGTCCAGGCCAAACAAATGGCTGAGCTCAGGAAGTCAGCCTGCCCCCTCCCCCAGGGAACTTACCTGATACAGTCTGCCTGCCTTGGGGACCAGGAAGCCAATCATCCGATAATAAGCCAGCGGCCCAGGAAGTTACGTTCTCCAGAATGTAAAGCAGCAGACAAGCTGTTCCCTGCGTATGAAATGATGATTGGAAAAGTTGACAGTCCCAACTCTAAACAAATGACTGACTCCCGCCATATGCATTTGTGCAGCTCAGTCTACGGGGCCGGCCAGAGGGTCACTGCAATAATCAGCGGCCGCCAGTGTCCGGCCTATTCAAGTCACTCTCATTCAGACTGTGGGGACATGTGTGGGGTTTTTTCCCCCTCCGTCTTAATTGGCAGGATTCAAAATGAGCTGCAGCATAATGGATAGAAACTATCGCACCTACCGGGCCATTTCAACTTCCCGGGTTCTAGTTGAATAGGCCCATGCTACTGTAAGTGCAGCTGCTGTGTTATGAGTTATCAGCACAACATTCAACCTAACGCTGTGGCCGCCATTTCTTCTCTTACGGTGGGACCTGACTTGGGCTGGGCCTCCCTGGCTCCCCACTTACACACACTTTTTGCCCTGATGGCAGCTTGTCCCTTTCTTTTTGTTCAGTTGATTTTCAGTATATTCAGGTCAGTGGGCTATTCTTTCTTTACTTAAAAAAACGCATAAATACTATGATTTTTTAAAAAAATGTGTTCAAATGCTATGTATTTGAGGTAGTATCTTGCTATTCTTCAGAATAAAGTTAGATAGTAGTTGATTTTAAGAAAAAAATGCAGACTTACAGACAACGTGCAGAGATGAAAGATATCCAAAATATTGGTTTTTATTTTTAGGTTTAAGAAGTTTGATCATAAGTACTTACGGAAAATCTTAATCCGAAAGAACCTACCCAAATCAAGCATTGTCTCTTTATACAAGAAGCTGGAGATGAAACAAGCTATTGAGATGGCAGAGACTGGGATACTAAGTTCTACCGCGTTTTCTGTACTGCAGCAGTAAGTCTTGTCTGCTTTTTGATCTGGACTTTCAGTGTCAGAATGCCAAGGGCCGCCAACTCATGGTTCCATTACAGGCAACACCAGGACGGAAGAGGTAGCAAGATGGGTGTGCTGGTTCGGGAGTGGATAGCAAGGTGCATGCTCACACCTCCACCCAGAAAGTAGGGGTACCAAGGCACAAATGGGAGTCCCACAATCACCTTTGAGAGCACTTTGCCAGTGACTTAAAGACCTCTTCCCTAGGCCCCACCTCTTAAGGTCCACAGGAATCTCCCTGTACCACCACCCTGGCCTCCCAGTTCTTACATGGGGACCTGTGGAGGCCACTCACCCAAGCCATAACGGGGTGAGTTATGGTAGCCAGAAGTGTGGCAGGTGTAGGGGGCAATTTAAAGAGAAAACTGTGCTGAAGGTGAAGATTAATATGCAGTTCTGAGGTTCGCCTTGAGTCTGCATGAGACCAGCTTGGAATGAGAGCAAGAAGTTGCTGGCTTCCTGTTGAAAACAAGACTGTGGGGCGATGATGCGGAGGCAGGGAGTAGGGAGACGTGGTGCTCGTATATAAATCCATCATTACACGATGATTTCCTCTGAAACATGGTGTTTCTCTTGGACCATCTGCTACCAATTGCCCCAAAGCTGGCTAGATATTTTTTAAAGCTGTTTTAACTCTGACATTTAACAAGAGCTCCTTTAATATCACAAAAATTAATTTACCTCCTGAAGATGCCCAGTTTTTTTCCAAGGGATGGCTTATGAATTGGGAAAATTAATCACCCTCTATATTTAGGGACAGGAACACCAGCCCCCGCCATTCTGTCATCTACAGCAGGTAAAGACACTTGATCATGAGCTCCCATTATGTCCTCACATTAGCAGAGCCGGTGAGAGAAGGACTAAGAATAGGTAGCAATAAAATTGTTGCTAATGCTTGAGTGTTATTTCTCAGATAGCGCCTTCCTCCCTTACCTGCTAATGAATCAGAAACACCACTGCCTCCCTTCCAGGGCCTGCAGAACAGCTAACCCAGCGTCCCCACAGGTATCTCAGTATAAACAAAAGGCTTTCTGCCGTACTTCTCCGTGAGCTTGTTTCTGGGGCTTGTTTGTTTGTCTTGTGCTGCCCATTACACTACTCTGAGGAAACTTCTGACAGTAAAATGGGAAAGCGCTAGCAAATATTTATTGGCAATGTTGTTCTAAGCCATAGTGGAGCCAGAGGAAAAATCAGGAATGTTGATCTTGTTTTCATTTAAAATGTTAACATCAAAGATTTTTTTTTTTTTTTGCATTTTCTAGACTATTGCCCTCAAATCTGACTTACTGACCGAGTAGCTTGGTCCTCTTATTCTTTGCACCAGAGTTCCTGTCCTGCAACTGTGAGCCAAGCACGCAAAGCAGACATAGGTCCTGCCCTCGTGGACGCATACAGGGGTAGGGTCATGGCCTTAGTGACAAGGTCACACACAATGCAACCTGAGACAGGGAGCTGCAGGAGTGTGTGAGGGGCGTGGCTCACAGTCTCCCAGTGTGGGTGTGTGACCTGCTCATGGCAGGAAGATTTGAGGAAGTGTGCCCGAGGAGGACTGGACAGCTCCAGAGGGGTGGACCGTTAGGAGCTTCCACAACGGGCTTGCTCCCCAGTGATGTAATGTTCTGTCTAGGACTGCAGGCGCTTATCTCAATGAGAATCAGTCTCTCTTGCGCTTGAACACATTTTGAACCTTAGAATTACGTTGCACTGACCATAACGAACTGCCCCGATTTCTGACCTCAAAGCAATGTTTCAAACAGCTTTGTTTGGGGCCTCCTCCAACTCCTGCTTTGAGTCAATTATTTTTCAGAAGTCGATCCAAGATTAGCTATAGAGTCTGACAGGTAAGGGATTTCCCCCTCCAATAGCCTAAATTAGTTATTTAATTGGGGTGAGAGAGGAGGTTTCTTTAAAGCTGATATTTAATACAAGTTTAATATTTAAATTACATGTATTTGATCTTATCAGAGATCGGTAGGACATCAAGCAAAAAGGAATTCCTTTCCTAAGATCAAAGCAGCTAATTTCTTCAAAAACAAACCTTCGTACAATAACAGGAAAAAAATGTGTTCTTAACTCACTTCTTATTATGCTGGATGAGATGTAACAACAAAATGCACATATATTTTCTTCTTTAGAAGTTTAAACAATCGTTGTACAAAAGTTAGCTTTCCCAGTGCTGTGATTTCTAGAAGATCGCTACCACCCGGGTTGTCTGTGAGACGGCGCAGGTAATGTGGATTTGGAGTCTGCTGTTTTTACATGCGTTACCTACTTGAACTTCAGAACGGCCCTGTGGAGGTGTAAAGTACATATTTCATTATTTCAAGTACAAAACAGCTCATCTCACCCCTGGGTAGTAAGCTGTTAGAAATTACCGGAGAATAGAGGCTCAAATTGATGAGTAACATCAAAGCTTTGAAAACGTTTTCTATTAACTTAGTAGGGATACTAAAATATGTATAAATTTATCAGCACAACAAACTGCAACTATGCACCCTCAATGTATTTTATATCAAAACTGTCAAGTAACTTTAACTGGCCATTTTTAAAGAAAAGCATGCAATAATTTCATTTTAGTTTAAAAATGTTTGTAATTGATCATGCATTGACAGGTGTGTCAGTAAAAAAAATAAAAATAAGGTGGATATTTAAATTGTAAAAAACGCATTCTAGTGAAAAGGGACGTTGCCAGGAATTCCCTTCAAAATACACCCTCCCGCTTCAAACACACTGATCCCTTGTGCTTTCCACATCCTGTAGCGGTTCTGGAAGTGCTCTTTCCGGAGTGTCTTCAGTTGCCTTGTTGTGGTTGCCATGATTCAAAGCATTTACTTTGCGCGGTCATTTGACTTTTGGGAAAAGCCAGAATATGGTGAATTAGGAGGATGAACACACACTAGAAAGTTTGTATTTGACAGAAGTTGCCTTAAATATTTGATCAATGAAAACAGCTCAAAAACAGAATGTTTAAATTAAAAAAAAAAAAATTGTTACAGTGAAAGGCACATTGCCATCCCTCCTCCTCAGAAACTGCCCCTGCTTTGAACTCACCCATCTCTTCATTCTCGGTCTTTCACTGTAACCACTTTTACAATTTAAACATTAACCATATCTTTCAATCACCCTTGTAAGTTCACATCTCCGCATTCTTACATGGACTCTGAGATGCCATTTCCCCTCCCATAATGGAATGCTGTGTCCCGGGAGGCTGGCCACATTCACTGGCACACTTCACTCATTTTAAAAGGGAGACATCACGGTAGCCTCTGGAGAGGGACACAAGACGGCCACGCACAGAGCCCGGCTGCTGTAGGCCAGGCCTCAGGTCGTGGGTGTGTTCTTTTCCCCAGGATGTCACACTGAGGTATGAAGAGGAAAAGTGTTCTTCTAAATAAACCAAGGGATAACATTTAATCGTTGGGAATTCATACTGAATATAACATCTACTAGATTTCATCACTGAATTTGAAGGCTTCTTATACATTAGTACAGCATGTCACCAAGAAAAAGAAAGGAAGGAAGGAAGGAAAAAGGAAGGGAGGGAGGGAGGAAGAGAGAGAGGGAAGAAAGGGAGGAAGGATGGAAAGAAGGAAGGAAGGAAGGGAGGCAGGGAGGAAGGAAAGGGTGGTCATAAGAAACGTAAACCTTATATTCAAATACATTTGGATTCAGATTGTTCCAGTTTGCCCTAGTGTCTGTGAAATTACCAAAGAACTTTCATTTAAGGTAATGAATGAATGTTCTAGGGACAAGTCTGTTGGTTTACCATTTGACTCATTTGAACCAGGCATCATTACCAATCCAATTTTCCAAGGGCTGTGCCCTTCCTGGACTAGTGAAGTGGGTATTTCAGGGACGCCTGTGTTCACGAGGCGGCACGGCGTAGCGCCAGGTCCCCCTCGCTCAGGTGAGCCAGGCCACTGCGACACGGCAGGTTCTTAGAGTGGCCCTGCGTGGCCCAGGGAGATGTGACACCTTCCAGATCCCAGTGCTACCCTTGCCGGCCGGTGGCCCAAACGGCTGTTAGTGAAGATGGGTGCTTCCCAAAGCGGTCAACTCCGAACTGGGGAGAGCTCCAAGCTAGACCTACCGCTCTGTCAAGTTTCATGTTGCCACTTCCTCTATCGGTGGTTTTGCTATTTGTTTTCTGATGAACAGAAAATGGAACTGTTTGGCGAGCTGGAGTTTCTGCTTAGCAATACATTACACCCACCAGAATGAAGACATGTACTCAGATGGTGAGAGTGTGTGGGCGTCCCTAAGTCAGAGTGAATTTTGTTTGAAGGACACATACACAATTAGGTTGACATACCCTGATGATAATGTTTATATCACCAAGGGTGGTAACTGCAGATCAACAGAGGTGATATTTGCGGCTCTCCACAAAGGAAGCTTTGGTTCCAGTAATTTTGGAGGAAGGTCCTTAGTCAGTGTGCAGATGGCACTGCTAAATAAAATCCTAGCACACCGTGCTATCCAGTATCCAAGGCCTTTAAGTCTTTTACCAGTAGCATATTACTTTTGAAACGTCCTAGCTGCTTATGGCTGTATTTGCACTAATGTTTGAGGAAAATACTTAATGGGTGACCTGTGTTGAAACTAACAATTACTCATCTGTGATCAACAGGCCTGAGATCATATGCGAGCAGTTGTTAAAGCCATCGGTGCCCGTAGGCAGTCAAAATAGCTGCAGCTAGGAGAAAGAAGCAAAGAGACAAGACAAACCATTAGGGCTTGTAGCATGATGGTAGTATTAAAAACAAGGCTTAACTTTCTTTAGTTCTTTCTTTTTTCTTCTTATGTTCTACCGTGATCACACATTACTCATCTAATAAAAGGTTTTTTGAAAGTACAGCCACGAGATTGTAATCAAATACATTTGTCACATGGCAATTCTCCCCACAGAATGTCATGACTTAGGAATCTCGGGGACAATTGTACATTGACTGCTCACCTGGGCCCAACCTGTACTAGAAACTCCTTCGGGGGCTCCCGGTACACAGGGCCTCTGAGCTGGGCTGACCTTCACGGTGTAAATGACTTAATTTTCTCTTCGTAGGATGTGATTCCAGCTTCTTAAATCATTGCCTAAGGAAAAATAAGATCCCTAAAAGTTATAATTCCAAGACACATGTACTCGTACACCTTTGATGTTCTGTTAGATCACTTTTCCCAAAATATAGCACGGGGACAGTGTTTGTCTGTGAACTGGTTGTCACCTGCCTGTGTTATGATTAAGTGCAGAGTTAGCAAGGACTTGACCTTTGAGGAATTTTATTTGTTTAATTTAGCAGTATTTGGATTCCATTTTATGGTGCTGTTTTCTACCAACTGGGTTTTTATTATATTTTATCCACATGTCAATTCATCCCAGATTCATAACGGGAAAAATTACTTGGCTGTCACCACCTTAACCGTGGAAAAGCTCTAAGGAGGAATTCACGTTCTGACATTTAAGTCAGTTTGCAAACACAACAGGAAAGGCGATAAAAAAATGGGGTTCTGGAACTTAGGGCTCCCACCATTCCAGGGCAGAGGGCGTTGGTCTCACCACAGAGGAAGAGTAATGACAGATTTCCTCCTACTGTGCTTCCAGGGCCCAGAGGACACAGGCGACCAAGAGGCTTTCCCCTGAAGACGTGGAGTCCATGAGAGACATTCTGACACAGAACCTGTACCAAGTGCGGCAAAGGGTGTGTGCAAGCCCCCTGCCTGGACGGCCCATGGCCTGCCCCGGAGACCAGTCCTTCGGGAACCTGTTCTCACTCTCATTAGCCTCTCCCTGAATGAGTCCTCTCTGCTTGGTTTGGAGAACAGAAAGCTCACTGTCAGATTTCTGCTATAAAGCTGGCACTGGTGGCATAAAAAGAAATGCAAATCCAGTTGCTGTCTCTAGGGGTCAGGCTGCCCCAGCCCTGCAGCCTGGAGGTTTCCGGAAGCCTCAGGTCTCCCTCTCTTCCAAAGAGAGACCAGCTGTCGCCGTCACCACAGAAGAATGATGGCACCAGGGTGCGAAGCCAATCCAGTTGTCTGGGTAATTTTGAGCTAAGAAGGGTTGTAAAACTGACATATTGACAGTATGATGCTGAAAGCCAGAATAAAAGGAGCCAAACCAAGCATCTTAGTTCTGAATTTTGTAGATAGGCACGTAGTCTTTACTAGACCTTAGTGCATGCAAGAGTATTTCTTAGGATAATGGGCGAGTCCTTCTGGAACTTTGGATAAATGACACTTGAATTGACGCCGTCTGTTATAGGAGGTCTTTTTCTAAGTTTGTGCACCCTTATTCTAGGGTGGAACTATAATAAGTATGGGAGGGCCTTTGCTTTGCTGACTGTGTCATAGATCATATCGTAGTGGGATTGTAAAAATCATCTACAGCAAGCTCTTCCTCCGCAAGTAGAAAATGCTGAGGTCAGGGAGCCGGAGGCACGAACTTGTTCAAGGTCACGAAATAAATCCAAGCTAAGAGCACAGCTCTCCTGACCACCTGCCCGGTGTTCTCTCCGTGCCTCCGGATTCACATAATCCACGGAGAGTTAATCCACGGAGAGTAACTTCGGGCTTTCTGTTGCGGGGAGGATTAAGGGGCCGCGTGAGTTCAGGGCTCCGCAGCAGCTGAGAGCCTGCTCGGAGTGAATTCCACTGCTCCAGAGCTTTCCAAGTGAAACTGTTTCAGCTCAGCTCTCGCATGCTGGATTAGACGCAGAGATAAGAGCTTCCTGGTTTGAAGAATGCAGTTAGCTGAGTGACAGCCGGGCCAGGAGTACCAAGCACTCAGCCTCTTCCCCAAGCTGATGAGTTTAGGGAAAGATCCAGTGGTGGCGGAGGGGAGGTCTGGAAACCCCAAACCGGTCTAAAGCAGATCCATTGTTCTCTTTTCGCGTGAGGCAGGCGCCCAGGGGCCCCTTTCTTCTTCTTTTGTATGTTGGCTTCTCCACCATCCTCCAGAGCGCTCTTCCTTCTAAAAGCTGTGCAGCATCTTCCTTCTCCTTGCCCCAAGCTGGAGCGCTCTGGCCTTTTGTCATTGAAGGGGCTCATTGCTGTATGCCATGCGGAGCCAGTGAGAACAGGTGCCTCTGTTTGCACTTCTGCGACCTGAGGGTGAGGCTCACCAGTCCCACCCCTCCTCATCTTTCCTTGCTAACTCCAGCTTTCCAAGCGTGGTGAGATTCTTCTCTTCCACCGTGATCCTTTTGGTCTCTTAAAGAAAAATGTCACCCTGCAAATGCAGCTCTCCATTCCACTGTTTCTGGAGGACTGACACAAACAGTGTGTAGAAGCCACCTTCAGTCCTCTAGCCTGGGCCACTGGAAGTTGGGGCGCTTCTCAGCGGCAGGGTCTTAGAAGGGTCTCTCTGGGGAGTCAGGAGGCACCTGGGCCAGTGTTTGCCTCTGGCCAAGCTAATCCACAGTTGGTCTGATACTGAGCTGGCCCCGCAGGATCTCTGGCCACTCTCTTTGAAGTCCCTGTGCTTGGCATGTCCCCAGTGGAAGCTACAGGGAGGGGACAGTGAGGGACAGCTCTGTGGAACAGGGAGGGATGGGGCACAGGAAATACTCTTCCGAATTTACAAGAGGAAAGGCCTAACTTAGCCAGGTTCCAAGAAGAGGTCAGAGCGTGGCGGGCAGTCTCTGGAGTGCCTGAGTGACGGGCTCCCCTGAAGGATATCACGTGCTTTCAAAGGGGGAAAGCGGTGTACTCCATCTCTGTGCTCGTCAGTCACCTGTCGGGCCAGCCAAGCCTAAGGAGCACCACAAGTGTCGCACAGTCCCTTCTCCTGCAGGCCCTGAGGTGTAATGGGGCAAGCAGCCTCTCGCCAGCCACTGCCTTCCTGAGGTGGTGGGGTGAGTGGAATCCAGCACCTACATGATGCGCTGAGACCTCCAGGCTTCCTGCTTGCAAAATAGACAGGAGCAATGTCTACCTGCCCCTGCAGGGCACAATGGAAGACCAACTGTTCCTTATATGTGACCTCCTCCAAGTCCACCCAACCCCTCCCCCATGGAGCCGATGTCCTGTAACCTCCGGGACGGGAAGTTGCACTAGGGGCGTCCTAACTTGTTCTTTTGTTTCTGCAGACCCTGTCCTACAACAAGTACAACCTCAAGCCCCAGAGCAGCGAGAAGCAGGCGAAGGAGATCCTGATCCGCCGGCAGAACACGCTGAGGGAGAGCCTGCGGAAGGGCCGCAGCCTGCCCTGGGGGACACAGGTGCCGGGGGAATTGGTGCAGTGGGACAGCGCTTCTGTCTGCAGGCGTCTGTCAGCGGACACCTGGGCTGTCCCTGGGGAAGTGCGGCCTGGGGCCTCCACCTGTGCTGAGACCATCCTCCACCTTGCGCAAAAGTGCGGCACATGCACCTTACTGCGACTTCTGCGGGGAGGCTGGGCAGGCACAGATCTCATTCTGGGGCTCAGCTCCCGGGGCAGGAGGGTTGCACGGAGAGGTCCTGGGTAGCCCATTTGAAGACACGAAGAAGACAGCCTTCTGCTTCCCTCAAACCGACCCAAGAGCCGGTTAACTGGCTGACACCTTGGCCTCTGGCCTCTCTGGCCTGCAAAGGTCTTCCTCACTCTGTTTCTCACTTCTACTTGATCCCCACAGGTTGGCGCCAAAAACATCCGCTACCTGTCCTTCCCCTACAGCAAGCCACAGTCCGGGCGGAGAAACGCAGGTGCTGCGGAAGCCTCAGGTAACCCGGGCCTCCCCGTCCATCACTGTGTCTTCTGGCCCGTCGCCTTTGGCCATGCAAGGCCCCATAGGATTGGAAACTTTAGCACTGTGATGTGAGCTTTGGGGAGATGCAACAGCTTTCATATTTGGGGAGACAATAGCCTTTCTTCTGTGGCATTTTCCGTTTCTGCCTTTCTCCATTTATTTTTTATTTGGTTGTCGATCTTTAAATGAGTTGGAAGAGCTCTGTCCGATATGGGTGTCGTCCCTTTCTCTCCTGCGTGTTGCCAATCATTTTCCCTCGAGGTTCACGTTCAGCTTTTACTTTTTAAAGATATATTTGCTATTAGAAAATTTTTATTAAATCTGCTCTGAGGTTTATGGAAAAATTAGTTAATTATTTTTCCTGAGAATTATAGTCATTTACAGAAAAAATAGTCAATTGTATTTACTGAGCGCTATAGTCATTTATTTTCCCCTTATGAATTTCAGCCCGTCAGGGATTTCTCGTTGTGCAAGGCTTGAAGAGAATTTGCAAGGGGCTGAGCTCCGGTCCCAGTGCCATCTTTCCCTGACCTTTGCTGTACTGAAATGTTCAGGATGAAGACAGTTTTGAGCTTAATTCTGTTTCATTGGTCAAGTTATCCACTCCCAGGCCAGACTTGCCTACCTAGTAGTATTTGAGATTATCACTGAGCTATTCTACATACAAAGCAAGCAAACGAAATAAGACAGCAACAAATACAGGGGATGGGATAGACTGACTTCAAAATATCCTCCTGGTACAAATAATCCAGGGCTATTTTTGTCTTTTAAGTGAGTAGACAGGAAGAAGAATGCCACACTGACATTTCTCCTGAGATGACCCAGTGCAGGCTCATTGGAGCACTGATGTGTGAATCTTAAATAAGCATTATATTAAAAAGCAGAGCACTAGAGAGATGATCCACCTTCTAGTCTGGGGTTATTCCAGAAGGTGGGGGTTGTTCTTTGCATGTTGGACACGTCTTATCACTTAAGTAAGGTGCCACCTTACAAGCTACTTGCATGAGCCTCTTCCTAATGCCAAGATCCCACCTGACCACAACCCAGAACCTGTCCCCTGAGGGACCTCTGCACTCTAGGGAATGAGTGGATGGTGAAGGAGCAGGCTGTGGGGACAGAGGCATCCAGGTCACTGACCCTTAGGTGCTGTCCCCAGCACCTGGGGACTTTGGCCACTCTGCAGAGCACAAACTAAGAAGAAGCCATAAAGAAAATTGGCATATTCACTAATGCTATTTACTTCCTGTATTCAAAGCAGCTGGTTCCCTACCTCACTTTCTGAACTACCTTCTCATGGTGATGTAGCCATATTTGGAAAAATATGGCATGACGGACAGGTTAAGATTTCTGGGGGCCACTTTCCAAGTACCTTTTGTTGGCAGAAACCTTTAAGTATGCTACATTCATCTGAGCTCTGGGAGTTTTGCTCTGTTTTCTCTTTTCTTTTCCTTTCCCTTTAAAAGGGACACATCAGCTACATCCTCATCTCCCTGTTCCTCACTTCCCAGTTTCTCCAAGACTGGCTTTTTTCCCAGTCAAAAGGGATGAGACTCAGACATAATACCTACAGGCTAAGACTTCCACCAAGCAGAAGCCAAACCGAGGCAGCTCACCACTGTCACGCAGCGGTGCCCTGTGATCTTTCGTTCAGCGTCGGCCTTTCAGAGACAGCCACTTTGTGCCCTATGGATCATGTCCTCGGCCTGTTGGTGTGACCTTGTGACAAAACATTGTCTCCGTCACCCAGGGGGCCTGGCTTGACGCACTGGTTTCAGTGCATCTCCGTGTGTCTGCAACACTGCACACACAGCTTCTGTCTCCTGGTCCCTTGGAACAGTGACCTTGAAGGGGAAAATATGTGGAGGGTGCGAGGTGGGACTGTGGAGAGCCGTGGCTTTGCCCTGCGCTCCTGGCCCCCGGGCAGGAAGCCTCCACTCTGATCTGGATTCTGATTTTCCCTTCTTGTTGCTCTGTCTTTCCAGATGACGACAGCAGCGGCCTTGGACTCCCATTCATCACGTTCAGTGCGCGGCCCCAGTTGGGGTCACTTCGGGAAAGCCGGCTGGCACAGGAGGTGATCCCCATGAAGAGCTTACCCCAAGCGACAATGACGGTGCCCTTCCGTGATGGCAGAGACCCTGGGCCGGGCAGGAGGACGGTGGCACGGCCCAGGCCTCTGTTCTTCACCTTGGAGGAGGAGTTTGAGTCCAGGGCAGAGAGCGATGAGGAGGCCTCAGCCCTCAGAGTGAGGTGGACAGCAGAGCGTGGACACAGCAGGGAGCATGGCCAGTCCCACAGCCCTCTGCTCCGCAGGAAATAGTGCCACTGCCACACGACTGCTTCTGACTTTCTAGCGCTCACCTTCCACTGTTGTGAGCGCGAGGTTTTCAGATGGGCGCTGTGGAGTTTGCTTTCTTGAAGCTATTGGACATGGATCTCTAAGAGACAGGAAGATGCCTGGGAAGCTGGGAGTGAGTGGACTTGTAGAGGAGCCACATTCTGAGCTGGGGGTGCTGATGACAGGAGCTGAGCCCCCACGCCTTCCTAAGAGCACCCTCTGATGGCCTCTGGCCAGCTCGTGTACCGAGATGTAAGTGTGACTGGTTGGTGATTCCACTCACCACGTGTGCGTGCAGCTTAGAATCAAGTAGAGCAAGGCTGGGCCTTTGCAGTCTCCTGGCTCCAACCCCGTGTTCAGGGATAAGGACTCCATGGCCGAGGTCCCTGGAGAGCAGTTCTCCATCCAGGGAATGTATTTGGTTTTGATCTGGGAATCCAGTATGCACTAATCCTATCTCAAAAGAGAGGTGAAATTTTGTATAACATTGCCGTATCCAATCGACAACAGCGATTGATGCGAGACACGCTCCAGGCTAAATCTCTGAACAGTGGATTCAAACCCTATTTTATAATTGCAGCCCTGACTTTAAAAACAAACATTAGAAACGCAGTGGCCACACAGCTGAACAACCATGCCGTGAGCAACAGGAATTCATTAGGTGTGTGCAGTACTCCTCATCACGTCCAGGCTTCGTTTCGGACCACGCACTCCAGCTGGCCGATTTTACCAAACTACTTTACCTCCTCCCTTCTTCCCTCCCTTTCCCCTTCCCTCTCTTTTCTTGGGCCACCTGTCTGTCAATAATCACTCTGCAGGCTTTATTTAATGTGCCACATTGATAACATATGATAATTAACTAAATACCCTTCTACCATTACTATTTCTGGTACCTCCACCATCCTTGACTGATTTTTTATCCTGCCCATCTGTAAAGGCCCCCCTTGAATGTTCCCGAGATCTGCCTTGACTCCTTTTGTCCTTAGGTGTCCCCATGTTTTGGGGGTGTGCAGTGGATTTATCTGTGCATTACACTTCTGCATGGACACGTGTGTTTATTCTGGTGGCCCAGGCTGCGAAGGACAAGGGGCAGTTTGTTCATTTTAACTTTTCACCACTTATCTGTTGTGCCACCTAGCCCTTTGCTTTCCATGTTTTGTGCTTGTGTAGGTCTTATCAGTTTTTCTCTTATCAGGGATAATGACGTCTGCACTCGCGATCGCTTGTACATGTCGAACTGATGACAGGAGCACAGATTGGAAGGGATGCGAGCAAAGTGCCCTCAGCACTCTTACCTTCTAGATGTCACAAATGACAGCCTGGGATGTCACCAGATGCCAGCTCAGGGGCTGCTGTCCCTTGCAGGGAACAGCCCACGTCCTCCGGTAGGACCTAGGGGCACCAGTAACAGGCCAAGGACATTTGGCTTTGCCCACAGTTTATACAGTGTGAATGATTCTCCCCAGCATGCTCAGCCGAAGACATGGCAAAGCAGCCCATTGGTTGATCTTCTGAAGCTGTAATATAATCCCGCTTCTGATCTCAGTATTTTTATTTTAATAAAAATTATGCACTACCAAATGATAGGAATCAGTTAATCAGGGACAGAGCCACATATAAATCCTTGGGCTTTTCTTTTTATTTAAACAAACAAGCAAGCTAAGCAGCAGAGACAAATTCTTGGCTCAGGAGGTGGCGGGGGCAGTGGGCTTTTACCCCCAGCGGTAGGTGAAGTACAGCGGCAGAGAGCTGTTGTCGAAATTCACCTTCCCAAGGCCACATGCAAGGCTGCATATCAGAAGCGAAGGGCACCCACATCCCTTACTGGTCTCCATCCATGTAACTGCAGAAGCCAATTGCAAGTGTCCGCCAAGAGTAGCCAGCAAGGACTCAGGGTGAGCGGGATCTACCAGAGTTTCCCAGCTTGCTCTCAGGTGCAGGCGCCATTAAGCAGTGGGATTCAGGGTCCATGTAATTAGCAGAAGCTGCTGCTCCCCACCTGAACCAGGAACCACATTCCACTGCAGAGAGTGAGCTCAGGCCACAGAGAAGCAGACTGCCAGAGTGACGGGTGGGCAAAGGTTTGCACAGGGGACAGTCTGAGGCCAGCAGGGCACTTGCAGGCCTGCCTGCCTGCCTTTTCCTCCATACCATGGTCCTCACGCATGGGGACATTCCAGGTCCCCCGTGGAGACTGATTTTTCCTGTGTGCCCTGTAGTGATGAAGTTAATGATAATAAATGCAGCTATAACAATGCAGGGTAAGAAGCTTACTTAAAATGTGTGCATTGTTTATTTCTAGAATTTTCCATTGAACATCTTTGGATGCAGTTGACTCGGTCACTGAGACAGGAAGTGGGACTGAGGATAAGCAAGTACTGCTGTACCAGGAAGGGACAGGGCACGGCAGAGAGGGATGAGGTCACTGACAGCCTCGAGTCAGACCATCTGCTGGTTGGTTAATCTTGTGTTCTGGCACAGGACAGGGCCAGCGTGCCCGGGGGAAGGAGGTAACCATTGATCTTTTGGTCACTGCATCCTGCAATTCAACACTCACACAGTCAGACTACATTTTGGGGATAGGAACACGAGGCCCTGAGTTCACTTCTTCGGCAGGGACGTGGCCCAGAAGTCCCTCCTCGTGTGGGCCTGTGGAGGCCCCTGAAAGGCTGCTAGCCATATTAGACCTGTGGAGTTCCCAAGGAGGGGTCCTTCAGTTAGGGCTTCCAGCGCTATTTCAAAGCACGGTGTGTGGCCAGGTGTGGTGCTGCATAGTTGTGATCCCAGCGCCTCAGGAGGCTGAGGCAGGAGGATCAAGATCGTGAGTTCCAGTCCAATTTAATGAGATCTTGTTTCAAAATAAACAATTTTTTCAAGGGTTAAGAGTGTAGTTCAGCCATCCCTGGGTTCAATCCCTAGTACCGCCAACAGCAAACAATAACAACAACAAAATCTGCGGAGTGTTTTCTCTCCCAGGGGTTTTCCAGCAGGTGCCTGTAGTGCAGTGCGGTGAGGGGTTTCAGCTAGGCAGCTGGACTCCTTTCCCTGCTCACCCAGGGATGAGTGAAATTTCCTAGCGTCCCCCCAATTCTGGGCCTGGCTTCTGGTCAACCCTCCTTGCTAGGGGCCCCAAAGAATGTGTCTGTTTATTTTCAACCTCAAAAAATCACGTGCCCAACACACAAAGTCCAAATTTTCTTCTCTGAGTTTTTGTTTTATTTTGTTGACCTTTCTGAGCCCTAGTTTGTGTTGCTCACCTGAAGGGTCTCAGGTTTCCAGGAACTCTGACTTAGAGCGAAGCACGTTTTTATTTATCGTACCCAGCAGCCTCCCTCCTTACACATTTTCCAGATGTTTTCTGGTTCGTGGGGTGCAGAAAAAGCACACCTCCATCTCCCTGGGAGCCAACAGGAGGCCATGGGCACCAGTCCTGGCTTTGGTCCCCTTACGGAAAGGGAGGCCGTGGCCTTCGGGGGACACCCGTGATTCTGAAGTGGAGAGGGGAATCCGGACACTGATGGAGGTCCTTGTCATTCTCTTTCTCTGTGGACAAAGTTGGGGGCGTGGGTGGTAGGGCTGGAATTACCACCCTGTTTCCTAGTAGAATAGCTGCTCCTGCAGGAGAGGGGCTCCGGAGGCAGCGGGTGGCAGGGCTCCCTCTGCAGCGGGAGTGACGCTGGGCTGAGCCCGTGGAGAAGCCTCTCTCTTGCCACGCTGACCGCGCGGACTTACCTGAATGTTTATTTTCATGTGTCCGCGTTTGCGGTACACAGTGAGTTTGTTTCTTGCTGGGCGTTGGTGCCTGGGCGAACGCAGCTTCACTCATTTTACGTGGCCTTCCGTCTCTCCATCTTGGTCTCTTCCTATTTGTGAAAGATCCACCTGTTTCCCATTATCTCTCTTGTACTTTTCTCTTTAATTTACTTATGCTTTGAGTTTTTCATGGACGAGAACGCATGAGAAATTGAAGCTTGTGTGTCTCATTTATTTCATGTAAATCTGTGATCTCCAGGTGCATCCATGACCTATGGATGACTCCAGTCTACCCTTCTTTGTGGCAGAGCAGTACTTCATTGTGGGTATATTGTCTTTACCAACTCATGGTGGGTACATTGTCTTTACCAACTCATCTGTTGGTGAACATGCAGGCTGCATTCAAGAGTTAGCTGTAGGAGTTGTGCTGCTATGAACACGGCTATGCATGGGCACCATAATATCATCCTGAGCTCTTTTGGGGAAATATCTAGACCATGTAGATCTTAAATCCATGTGGTTAGTTCAGAACTCAGGCTCTGAAGTCAAACAGCTTTTATGAGACTTGTGGCAAGTTAATTATTATCCCTAAGTCGAAGTGGACCAATAGATAAAATAAATCTACCTCATAGAACGAGTCAGTGAAATCAGTGAAGATTCAATGAAATAATATATATAAAACTTTTAGATCAGTGTTTAGAGTTTGATCGCTTTAGCTGTACTTGCTTAAGTGATACGGACGCATGAAAGAGAACAATCACTGATATAATGCCATGCGAAGAGTGTAACTGAGGCAAAGACTTTTCTGAGAACTACTTGGTGGACAGGATAGAGTGTATTTGTGGGGGCCAGGGGGCGGGGTGTGGCCGGAATTGCGGATGCTGAAAATCTTGGATCACCACGGTATTGGGTGGTCCTGTCCATCAGTTCAGAGCTCATCATCAAAAGCAAAACCAGAGACAAAACCCGGGTATGGATTATTCACATTTTTCAGGAGTATTCTCCTTTTCCCATCAAAGCACAATGTTATCTTGCTTATTTTTGTGTCATTCCCTCAACATTATTGCATTCTCTAGTTTGGGGGATCATTAGCCTTTCATATGATCTAATTCTCATTTATTTTCAAAGAGATCATGGACTCAGAGCCCCTGCCATCTCCTGAGACAACCTGTTCATAAAGGAGAAAAAATTCAATGGGGTTTAATTCTTTAGCTTGGAATTTCAGTGTGGAATTTCTTTCCTGGAACAGGACTTCTCTCCAAAAAAGTGACTCTCTTTAGAGAAAGAAATGCTTAAGAGCTTTTAGCCGAGAAAAAAAATGGTTTCTGGTGTGTTTTACAATGTTCCAAAATGAGGCAAAATGAATTTCTGAAAAATAAAGTCAGTGCATATGTTGCACTTGTGTAAGTTGTTTTATCCATCAATGAAGCAGTTGATTTCCTGTAGTGTTACATTTTTCCTTCTCTCTAAACACCAGCAATTGTCTTATTTCTGACTCCTGAGAAAATACAGCTGTGTAGACAGAGCGCACCTTTCAGACACCAGGCACGTGCAGCGGTTGATGGGGACGGAAGTGAAGGGCTTCGAAGAGAAGCCTGCAAAGCACAGTCCTGTAACTCTCCAGTGATGTGCTCTCTCGTGAGTGCGGTAACTGATTTAAGAAGTTCATTTTCTCTCTGAGATGCTGATGAGCTGGCCAGGCAGGGCTCCCCAGGTAAGTACGGCAGGTTAGAGACCAAAGCAGCCGCTACCCAGCCTTCTGTGAGCTGAGGTTTACTCAGCAGAGTAACTGAAACCAGGTTGTGGCTGAACCAAGACAGTCGCTGCTGCCGCCAGTCGGAGACATAGTCACAGGGCTGTTCTGTCACAGCAGCAGACCTCAAGACAAAGGCACTCGCTCTGTGCTTTTAAAAAATGTTTAGGCATTTGTTATTTATGTTTCAATCTTTGGTTTTGGAGAGTGTGTGTTTGCAGGAATGATGGACATTCATCACGGGGAGCTGGTGGGTGTACAGACCACATCTTAATTCTTTCTACACCCCCTTCCCTTCCTGGAATCATTCTGAATAGAATGGTCCTGGGCCACACGCATAGAGCTCTTGCTAACATGGACAGGAGCCTTGCAAAACGCCTTCCACATAGGAATGCCAGGGTCACCCCACTGGAAATGGGAGGACGGACAAAGTAACAGGTCCCACGTGTCCCTTGGCCGGGGCACCGCAAACCCCAGGTGTGTCCTTGTGACCTTCCATTGCCAGCCTCCTCCCTTTGGAGAACTGGGAATGGAGTAAGTGACTCAGAGTCTCTTTCTCCTTTGCAAAAGATCCAGCAATAGGAGACAGAGGAGCTACATCCTGCCGAAAACTCCAGCAACAAAACAAACAAGCGCTGCTCTAAATGGATGGATAATACAGTAGCTATTAATACATCAAAACCCATTTTTATAATCTTAATGGCTAAAGTTAGGCGAGCAAGATTGATCATTTGAGTCATTAAAGTCTTCGAGAAGTCACAACATGTTTTGTGTCTGATTTTACATTGTGTTTCCTTTTGAATTTCAATAAAACATTGTGTCTAAAGAGGTTTTTTTTATTTTAAATTTAAATGGCACTGGGGATTGAACCCAGGGCCTTTGCGTTGAACTACATCCGCATCTCTTTTTAAATTTTTTGTTTTTAATTTTGAGACAGGGTCACATTAAGTCAGCCTCCCAGAGTGCTGGGATTCCAGGCCAGCACCACCATAACTAACTAAGGGACCTTTCTCTTAGTCCATTAATGAGTCCCTGGCCAGAAATCTCCCCAGCTCGGGGCACAGCTGAAGCACCGAAAATGGTGCTTATGTCCAGGGCAAGGTAAACTGATAATCCCCCTGGAAGGATGTAGCCGCTGGGTAGCATGGTACTGACTACTGAGAACCCTGGCTTCAACAGGAAAGCACGGTGTTGATGATGAGCATGTCACTAGCTGAAACATGCACAGCGAAAAATTAAAACAAATTTAGCTCACTGATCTAATCGACTTTTAGCTGCAGTCCGACTCAGGCAACACCTCATTCTATTAAACGGAGGGAGCATTCTCGTGAGTCGGGAGGGGAGGCTGGCTTTGCAGACAGCGAGGCTCTGGGTGCAGCGGGAACAGGACACAGTGGGATGGTTGTTTCGAGCTGCTTTCCTTGTAGAGGCTAAAGCAGAGGGGACATTCTTATCACAGCAGATGGACATGGTCTCTTTGGGGACTTGGCTATTCTCTCTCTCTCTCCCTTCTCCCTTCCTCCTTCTCTCTCTCCCCTTGTCTTCTGATTTCTTGGAAGGCCAGAGGAACATCAGCATCAGTGTGCTGTGTGGAATTCAGTGTGAGGAAACCCACTTGGATTTGACCCATGGAGCCTATTACAGAAGCGCAGCGCAAACCAAAGGCTTCTTGTGATTTTCACTAGCAGTGCTGTGGGCTCAGCATGTCCTCAAGACCGCTGCGCATGCATTTAAGAAACACAGTTCTCATCGCAGTCTTACAAAGTAGCTGCTCTCATGATCATGTCCGTGTTGCAGATGGGGAAACGGAGCCTCAGCAAAGTTCTCAGAGACAGACAGTGAGTAGGCGGCAGTAACATTTAAGCCACCTGACCCAAAGCCACGAAGTCCAACCCCTAGACTGCAGTAAATACCTTCAGAGCTATTGCAGAGTACACTGGGTATCTTCAAAAAGTGGCCACGCCCTGTGCTGCCACCCTTTGAGTTTCTAAAGCTCAGCTGACAACCCCAGGTGATACCTCAGGTCTCGCCTGCACTGCTCTCTCTGCCCCGTGCTCCTGACTCTTGTCCATAATGTCAAGAAATGAAGTGAAGCTAACCGGGCGGTGTCCAAATCTTTCACTCCACAGAGTGAGTCTTTGCTAAGTATAGGGAAATGAGAACACAAGTTATCCTTTGAGTGATTTTCTAAGCACTTCAATATTTTTATTCCCAGTGGATTTTATCTTGGCATGGTCAGAAATACCAGAGGTTGAGCCAGCTAGAAATTTTAAAAATAAGAGACTCGGACCAGGGCCGAGGGCCAGTTTAACAGGAAGGAAGGCCCACAGGGTTTCATTTATTTTGTTTGCTTACAGGAATTTTTCTGGGGAGCTGAGAGCAAGTGAAACTGCCTCTGGTTTCACTAGGGTTCAGTTTCACCAGCGAAGGCTGCACTTGTTTTGAATTTGTGCTCGTCCTGGCCCTGGATCAGAAGCCTCGCCATTATCGATCTGTGCCATCTCCAAAGGGGTTGTGTGTGCAGAGAGGGAGGAACAGCAGCGTCACTGAAGTCCTACAGGTAGAAGCTAAAACACCGTCCAGAAAGAAGGAGAATAAATGTTCTGTCCTCCAGGAAGAGACTATTTCTACAAGCAGAGGACAAAGGACAGGTCCTCGCCCAGGGACCCACCCATGGGAGAGTCACCTGGAGCCACAGAGCCTGGCACCGCAGTGTCAAGAGCATGGGGTTTAGCAAACAGTGCTTGCTGTACTCCACCCACACCCCTGGAGCTGAGGTCCAAGTTCTGAATGCAGGAAGACAATGCCGTTGGCATTTCTTAGTTTCTCTCCACAACATGTGGGGTTTCAGGCAGCTCTCTAGAAAAATACTTGGGCAAATATTGCAAGGAGGAATTGGAAAGGGAACTATACCTGTGGAAACTCCAGCTAATTAAATTCTTCCAGGAAGAATGAGCAGAAAAGGTGAGGTGGGAATGACCTTGCAAGAGGCTTCATTTCCTAATGACTCAAGGCGTTAGGCCGGATCTGTTGGAGGAAGACAGGCATCACTGTGAGTGTCACAAAGCTGAAACTTTCCTGGTGTCCCAGGTCAGCTCAGGACACTCAGGCATCAGAAGACGATTTTACATTTGGAAGTTATTTGCAAGTCTTAGTGTACTGCCCAGCGTTCTCTTTAACACTAAACTCTTGGAATACAGTGCATAAGGAAACCCTGGGAAAATGTGGCCCCATGAACACACCCTAGTGAGTCCCAGAGCCTAGTATCTTGGTGCACTAGGTAAGTGTTGGTTGAACACCACAAGCTCAGGTCTCAAAGGTTTCTGAGCTCCCCAGGTGACTTTGAGTGTGACTCCCTTTGAGAAAGACGCCTTTCCCCCTGGCTCCGGCCAGGCTTGGGGTGATCCTACAGCTTCCCCTCGAGCACAGCGACAGGGAAGAATAGCTCAGGGGTGTGGGCAGAGTTCTGGCTCAATCTCCTCAAGGTTGTGTGGTACTGGCGGAGTGCTCTGACCTCTCAAATCCAGTTTATGTCACTCATCAGGGGATAATCACAGCCGTTCCACCCACCTCACGAAGTGTTGTGAAATTTGAATGGGGTCAAGAGTTTATCAAAGCATTAAGTATGGAGCCCTTTTTATGCCAAGAAAGAAGTTGAGGAGGAAACACACACGTGGAAGACCTAGCGCACAAGAGTAGAGCGGACCTGAACTTGAATCCTGTTTTATGACTTTGTAACACCTCACCTAGGCAAAATTTTCAACCCTTCCCTGCTGTTAGTGCCATGTTTGGTATAAAATTCAGTGCACAATAAACCTGAACTATTGCCATCATCAGGGTTTTAGATAGTTCTGTGATTGAAAGTGTGTTAAAGAAGAAAGTCAGTCAGTGGTAGTTGCTAAAGCAGGACAAGGAAGACCTTATTGAGGTCCATCTCGACAGAGCCAGAGCCTGCTGCATTCGATGCTGAGAAGGGACGGCAAGGGCTGGTTTTTGCCTGGAATCCGGCAAGAGCCAGTGGGCCTGGACAGCCAAGGTGCAGGGCCGGGGTCAGTGGAAGAGAAGGTTCAGGAGGCAACTTCAGGTGTGAAGGGGATTCTGCTGAACTGACTCAGCAAGATTCTTGCTGAAAAGAGCCTGAGCAGGCCTCAGCTGGGAGGTTATCCATCGGAGGTGACCGGATACTGGGGATGCTCGCTAAGCTCATTCAGCAGCGTTCTCTGCTAAAATAGCGAAGAAAAAGCTCAGGAGCCTGAGTACCATGTGGTCAAGCCAAGAATCTTGCTTCGTATGGGCTCTATTTCCTGATATCAGGCTTCCTGGATCATATGAAAAAATGTGAAATAAAATCATGACTCTCAACTATAAGTGAACACTTGTCAGGGGATCATGTCCAACTCACTAATGAATGTGGAAACTAATAAGATGTTTCAACCAGGTTGAAGAAAAACTCCAAATATACATTTGGAGGCAGTTGGGGATATTAAGACAAACTTTACATGGAACAACAAGTTTTTGTATGGTAGAAAGGGAAAATAATTGTCTCTCAAGGGGACAGAATCTGTTTACAAGTCTATGGATAAGAATTATTTGTAATGCGGTCAGTTTTCTACAGTTTACACAATTATGATTAACTGAAAGATAGCAAAATAGTTCAAAGACAATGAAAACCTAAAATGACAGTAGTTAGAAGATATTAAAAGTAATCTAGAAATCCTGTTTGAGCATCACCTCCTGGCTCCAGAGGGGAAGATGGTGCACTGTTCAGTCTCCTGGAGAAGGTTGTTGTGCTGGCTTTCCTGATAAGAACTCAACCGTTCTCATCATTTGAGAAGCTCAGGACCTCACTGTTGCTGAGGATGACTGTGGTACTTTTCAGGAGAGCTCTGGTTCTTACTTTGAGCATTGCTTTTTGGCTCTAGTGCAGATCCCTCAGCTTGCTGGCACAAATCCTTTAGCACACTGGCACAGACTTTCTAGCTTCTGCCACTGACCTTTGGGTCTTCCTGGCATAGATCCATGAAACAGGCTTGCAAGAGACATTGTCACGGGCTCTTGACCTCCAGTTGAACTTCTCGGAGGCATTGTTATAGGCTCTAGATCTTTAGCTGGACTTGTGCAGAACATTGCCATGGGATCCAGGACCACAGCTAGATTCTTTGGGTTTTTAGTGTGTGGACAGATTTCCTGCACTCTCTTTATATATGACTCTTTGGGTGACTACTATAAAATAATCCTATAAATTATGTGTCCTGTATTGTTTCCCTTGCAAACCACAACTACAACAGATGTATTGGAAAAAGGATTGGTTTAGGATGGCATTGGTATAAATTATGGCTCTGTAATATACAAACTATAGTACTTTAGATAGACTTTGAGCCTGTATTGATATTTATTTATTCTATTTATCTATAATATGGTGAAAATAGTATGACCTCTGATGTTACAAAATAAATAATGCATGTAAAATCCCAGAAAAAGGATCTAGTGAATTCTAGAAGCAATAATAAAAAATAGGTTCCCTTATTTCTCCAGGAAGTGTGTGTGTGTGTGTGTGTGTGTGTGTG